CCTCCCTTCCTTCCTTCCTTCCTTCCTTCCTTCCTTCCTTCCTTCCTTCCTCCCTCCCTTCCTCCCTCCTTCCCTCCCTCTCTCTCCCCCTCTCTCCCTCTCTCTCCCCCTCTCTCCCTTTCTCTCTTTCTTTCTTTCTTTCTTTCTTTCTTTCTTTCTTTCTTTCTTTCTTTCTTTCTTTCTTTCTCTCTCTCTCTCTCTCCTTTTCCCTTTCTTCTTTTCTCTTTTCTTTCTTCTTTTTTTACGGCACTAGGGATTTAACCCAGGGCACCCCTTTTTGTTTTAATTCTTGGATCGGTTAATCCTCACCTGAGCATTTTATTGGTTGAGATGTTGTCTGCATAAACTTTGTGCTTGGGCTGCTCTCTAAACACAGTCCCTTCATCTCTGCCTCTCAAGTAACTAGGAGTACAGGCATAAACCACTATGCCTACTTGATCCAAATGATCTATAAAATGATGTTTGAGAAACAATGTGATCATTTGTCAGGATTGCATTTTTTTTACTAATTGAAACACTAATAGTTTGGTAATATATTAAAGTACACTTACTTCATTTTCTTAGATGGCCAAGCATCTAGCAGGCACAAATCCATGTACTAGGAACTAGCAGTAATTGGAAGCAGAGATGAGATTGAGGAATTGGGGGGTGATCCAGGAAATGAGCTCATGCAGGTCTGCACAGTCAGAGGAGGGTCATGGCCAGGGGCCCTGGGACAGGTGTCTGAGGCAGAGTTCTGAAAAGTTGGTATCCCCAGGAGAGGACACAGTGATGCTATTGTAGCAGGTGGGCATAGCATGAATGGACATACTCAAGGATTGTGGGAAGCCGATGGCTGCAGAAAAGCGTTGAATGCAATATAGAACCTTTGGTCAGCTTTTTATATTAGCCATCTCTTTTGAGGAAGAGGTTTGGATAGTTTCTGCTAGGAATCTGGAATTGTCTTGGGTTTGACCATGTGGGTTGCTGTTCAGAGGCACAGAACTTTGAGCTATTGGAAGGTAGAGTAGATGAAGAGATTGGATGGCTACAAGATGAAGTCAGGAGACCATCTTGAATAGCTTTCAGGTATGACTTGTAAGGTGTGGAAGAAGGGGTGGCCCACAAATGTAACATATTTTCAACAAGCAGGGCAATAGGTGAAAAATCAAGAGTACCCCAGGCAAAATTGGATAACCATACTTTGTTTATAAGGGACCCTGGGGAAATGGTGCCATAGTTAGAGGAAGAGCATCCATTTCTATGTTCTCAGTTCATCTCAGAGTTTTTTTTTATTATATTTGAAACTCCAAAGTCATTGCTTCGAGTAATAAAGAAAACATGGTACATCTACATGCTACAAAGTTATACAACCATCAAAAGGAATGAAATGCTATCATTTGTAGCAATAGATATGGAGCTGGAAGGCATTAGGTGAAATGAGTGAGGCTTAGAATTACAAATATCCCATAATCTCACTTATATTTGGAAGCTCTAAGTTTGAACTTATAGAGAGTCGAGCATTTGGTTACAGAGTGAGGAAGGGCATTAGAGAGAGGAGCAGAGGTAGAGTAAAGATGATCTTGGATAGGAAGAATGACTTCTGATGGTCTAAGGCAGAGTTAAATGACTATGGTTGACAACATTTTTGTTAAATATTTTAAAATACGAATTAGGACAAAGTGTTTCAAGTGATCTTAACACCTTTCTAGGATGATGGATATGCCAGTTATCCTGATTGGATCACTCACTATACATTGCATGTATGTATTGAAATACTACAATATATCTCAGATATAATCTGATCATGTGTTATTGTCTGAATGTTCATTCATTTGGATGACTTAAGAAATTTGAAACATTTGAAAAAATTAAAAGAGGATTTTTGTGAGTGTGGCCATTTAGAATGAGAGCTGTTTCCTAAAATCATTTCGCTTTGTGTGTGTTTTTCTGGCAGACAACCCTTCCTTGACCAAGGATGTTCTGTGTGCCACTCTGAACTGCAAGCTATGTGAGACAAGGCATCTTGTTTTAGCTGTCATACAAGGAGTCACTGTTGTGTACACACACTACCAGGTATGTCCTCTCCTGTGTTTCAGAGAAGTCATAATCATTGACTCATGTAGAGAGAGCAGTGGAGTTATTCTAAGTTTGCTGCCTGGTCCAGATAACTAGAACACTGCACTATGCATAGTCACACTGAAAATCAAGCTTGCAGATTGAGAGCTTGCCATCCCTCCTCCATGTAAGAGTTGCTTGTTGAATTCTCAGGAACTCTCCAAGCCAGTTGCTGGTTATTAAGCCCTGCTATCATTAACAATCCAACTGTATAAACATGTGTTGAAAGAATTTATACTTAAAACAAGAGTGACAAATACACAAGACCTACCACTTCTTCATGATCTCAGTATGATTTACAGTTAGCAGTCCTCCAGAGATGGTTTGTACTGGTGGTTTCTATGGATGAAAGGAATATTGTATATTCATGTTCTTCCTAACTCTCTGTTCAGCAATGTCCTGTTGACATCGCGAATCAGCCAATATGGGAGTTTTTACACCATGACAATTTTCAAGTCTATCAGATTATTTATTTATTTGTTTGTTTGTTTATCCATTCATTCATTTTTGTATGGAGGACAAAGTTTCAGAATTTACCAGCCCATCACTTTCCCTAATGAACTAAATGTAAGTGGCAAGCTCCAAGAATTGATAGTTGAATAGGGCCCACGACTGCAGTTTTCTTTTCCTTCCTTCCCTCCTTCCTTCCTTCCTTCCTTGCTTCCTTCTTTCCTTTCTTTTCTTTCTCTCTCTCTTTCTTTCTCTTTCTTTTTTCTTTAGTCCTGGGGCTTGAACTCCAGGCCTGGGTTCTATCCCTGACCTTTTTATTCCAGGCTACAGCTCTACCACTTCAGCCACAGCTCCATGTCCAGCTTTTTTTGTAGTTTTGTAGCAATAAGAGTCTCATAGACTTTCCTGCCTGGGCTAGCTTCCAACCATAATCCTCGGATCTCAGCCCTCCTGAGTAGATAGGATGACAGGTATGTGCCACTAGTGCCTGGCTTTGCAGTTCCCTTTTAATTAATTTGGACAAGTTCCCCAAAGCTCCACTTCAACTTATGCTGAGTTAGAGAATGGGATATTTTTTGGGCCCATTCAGTGGCCTGGAATTAACACACACACACACACACACACACACACACACACACACACACACACACACACACACACACACACACACCAACACTGGGTGTAGAGGAGGCCTGAACTGCTCAGAAAACTTGTGTGATGCCAGTGATTTTCCAACAGTGAAGATAGAACTTGTCTTTCTTGTAGGTCTGGTTTTGAATATTATGTTGGTAGTATAGTGATTCTAACCTGTTACAGGCCCAGAACATCAGAAATGTGTAAAATGACTTTCAGGCTATGTGATGAAGGTGTATAGAATTGATATAAGTTTTCTGCTTCGACTAGAGTACCATCCCCAAGTTAGCTCATTATATATAACATAAAATATAATATATAGTATATGGAAAATTCTAAAATCTGAAAAAAATCCAAAATTTGAGACAATTCTGGCCTCAAACTTTTTAAATATTTTTTATTATAAAAATACTGGACAGAGGGGTTACAGTTACATGAGTTAGGTAATGAGTACAATTTCTGTCAAGCATTGTTACCTCCTCCTTTGTTTTTCCCCTATCATCCCTTCCTTCCCCACCTCCCCAACTCCTTCCCCCTGTTCCCCCTCCGACAACCCCTTCCCCCACCCTGCTCCACCATGTTGTAAAGTTTGTTTTCAACATAGTGTCTTATACATCTCATTGTTACAATGGGTCAACCTATATCCTTATTTCAGCATTTTGTTATTTCCCATCTCTTCCCCAAATTAGTAAAATGTATATACAAGATGCAGAGCACTGCAATCAACTACAGTGAAAACAAGGATTATACCACAGGGGGGGGTGGGAGAACATACAAAAGAAACAAAAAAAACATTGTACATTATAAACATATTAAAAACAATAGCAAGGGCTGGGACGGTGGCTTAGTAGTAGAATGCTTGCTTCACATGCATGAGGCCCTGGGTTCAATTCCTCAGCACCACATAAGCAGAAAAAGCTGGACGTGGTGCTGTGGCTCAAGTGGTAGAGCTCTTGCCTTGAACAGAAGAGCTGAGGGACAGTGCCCAGGCCTAGAATTCAGGCCCCATGACTGAAAAAAACCCAACAACATCCAAAACAACAACACAAAACAATAGCAAGAAAGATAAAACCATTTGTATCCCTATCTTGGGGTTCATTTTGCTTAGCATAATTTTATATGGTCATATGTACATAGCTTTTGACTGTTTCTGCTTGTCCAAGACATATAAGGGAAACCATGCAAATAAGGGAAACCATGGGACCTATGTTTCTTTGGGCCTGACTTACTTCACTTATTATAATATTTTCTAAGTCTTTCCATTTCCTAACAAATGGGACAATGCCATTCTTTCTGATGGAGGCATAAAATTCCATTGTGTATATATTCTACATTTTCTTGATCCATTCATCTACTGAGGGGCATCTGGGTTGGTTCCATATCTTAGCTATGGTAAATAATGCTGCAATAAACATAGTTGTGCTGGTAGTTTTACTATATTGTCTTGTTTGCGATCATTTAGGTAAATGCCCAAAAGTGGGATTTCTGGGTCATAAGGGAGCTCTATATGGAGTCTTTTGAGTAACCTCCATACTGCTTTCCAAAGTGGTTGAACAAGTTTACACTCCTACCAACAATGCAGTAAGGTTCCCTTTGTGGCTACAAACATTTTGAGCCAGTATGTTTAATTTGTATTAGATGCAGATAAACCAAAAGAATTAAAAAATCCTACACACCCTTTTTCAGTGCATTAAAGATGGTTGTGGCAAAAAAAAAAAATCAGGCAAGAGATTGACACAAAGACTACATTTAAAGTTCATAGTCGGTCATGATTGTCGATAGCTCTGGTTAGTGATAAGCTATTGCTGATAAAAGTCAGAAGTTCTTTCTTTTGATGACAAAGAAAGAGCATTGGTATCTCAGGATGCAAAAATTTTGGTATGGGTTCATGGGTTGTTGGGTTTAAGTGTGAGACTAAGAAATAGAAATCTTTTCTAGGCTGTAGGATGTGGAATCTGCTTTGCCCAGCAGAGGGAGGCAAATAGTACAAAGCTAGGCAGTTTTACAGAACCTGTATTCCCAGGGAAAGTGCAGCTCTCCGCTAATGGTAATGTAATAGGAATTCAGAGAACAAACTCTTTATTCTCTTATTTTCTTGGTGCCCAGACATAAAAAAGTAGCAATTGGGAGCTAAAGGAGGACCAGAAATAAAGCTTCTAAAATGACAAGTATCCAATGGAGCTTTTAGAATAAGTTGAGTTGGAGAAAGTGGCTGGAATCCGGTTAAACTGGGTGGCCTGGCCAATTCCTCAAATCTAAACATGTTTACCTGTGTACATGTATATGCCCAGTTCCTGAGTGATTCAGGTCTGTTGTAGGAGAGAAGGGAGGTATGATAAACTGCCTTTTTCTGTGGTTATTTTACATGTGTAACCTAATGGGTGCCAGTCTCAAACTCTGTGCAGTACTTCTCATCTGACCCTAATATACAAGTACTGAAGGAAGTTGAAACTTTTCTTTAATTACTTCTTGCTTCTGGGTAGGAAGTATGCTTTTATGTTAAATAATTGGCGCTATGACAAAGTTATTTTTTTGTTAAATTTTAAATTAAATAATATAACATAATTTAAAATTAAAATAAAATTAACATTTAATTAAATTAAACTTAATTATAGATTAATTAAATTAAAAGTAATTAAATTAAATGTAATTTAAATTAAAATTACATTTGGAACTCACTTTGTATGAACCAGAGGGTCTCACATCTTCTTTACTTCACAAGTCTAAATTGTATTTAAATTAAAATCAAGTGCATTCTTTTAAATTAATTTTTAATTAATTAATTTTAATTAATACACATTTTAATACAATTTTAATTTTAATACACATATTTACAAATCAGGAGTTAGCTGATCTGTTTCACTAAGCATTTTTTTAAGGTTCACCTATGTTGTTGAAAATGGCATGATTTCTTTCTATATGGAAGAATAATCTTCCATTCTGTGTATATGTATGTGTGTGAATATGTGCATGTGTACAAAACTTTTGTTCTTTACCAATTTGTCATTGGCCACTTTGGCAGAGTCCATGCTGAGGTTTTTGTGAACAATACTGCAGTGAACATGAGTTTGTTCCCATTGAATATAAACTCTCAGTGGTGTTGCTGGATCATACAACAGTTCCAACATGAATTTTTTGACTACACTACTTTCTATTCTCACTATTTCTCATATGATTGGTAATGTTCAGCACATTTTCACACCCGTTGGCCATTCCTGTATCTTCTTTAGAAATGCATGTATTCAGGGTCCTTTGCCTATTTTAAAATTAGGTTGCTTGTTTATTTTTTTTTCCTGTTGAGTTGTGTAAGTTCTTGGGATCTGAGCTCCAAGAATTTCAATGCTAAGCCACTCAGCAGGATACTGCATATTCTCTGCTGTGCATTCTTTTTTTTATTTTCAATCTTCTTTTAATTTTTAGATTTTCGGTAAGTCACAATTGGGTGGCATACAGATACAAGTGAATGTCAAGAAGTGGTAAATACCATTTTCATTATGAATACACAAGGTTATTTTTCCCTTTTTAATTTTCTAAATTATTCTGACAACTTTTTAAAAAGTTCATAAGAATAATTCATTCAGATAATTTGAGAAAAGGAAAAAGCAATTTGTAAGGACTTTCTCCACATTATAAACTGGCTTTACTCAGCATTTTATAAGAAATAAATTTACAGCTGGGTGACAGTGGCTTGTACTCATCATCCTAGCTACTTGGGAGGCTGAGACTCTCAAGGTTCAACATCAGCAAGACAGAAAAGTTCATGAGACCCCTTCTCAACAAAAAGCTGGATGGATGCAATGCATAAATCACATGGAAAGCATAAGATAGGTGGATCATGCCCAGATGTGTGCCAGGCAGGAAGCTAGACAGTAGCTCCAAAATAACCAGCAAAAATCAGGGCTGGAGGTATATCTCAGCCATAAGAGCACTTGCCTTCTGCTGTGCATTATTGTCTTGCTGGTTTGGTTAATGGCATAAACAGGAGTGAGGTTCTTTCTTCCTTACTTCTCAGCCAAGAGTTCTTCCTATGCACTTCACAATGTGGCATAATTTTATTCATTCTGTGTCTCAAGATTGCTGAAAATAAGCAATAAACCCTTACAATACACATAACACTGAGTGAGAACAGGTGTTGATCCAGAAACTAGACTAAAGCTATATAACCAAGTATTTGTGTTTCTGATCTATATTTTCTAGGAAATTGAAAAGAGATGGTCGGCATCCAGTCAACTAAATTGTGAAAGTCTTATCAGGAATCTTTCTCAGACCTTAGAACACTTCACAAGCAACTTGGATCACATCACCAACCAAGACTGCATGTGCCAACCCCCACTGGAAACTGTTGAGCAACATGTGCGTGTGTACGTACCAGAGAGGGTCTCACACCTCTTCTCTTTTTCTTCATCAGGAAGATTTCTAGCATTCTCTTTGTGTGTGCTGGTGCTGTGGCTTGAACTCGGGCCCTCACTCTCTCACATAGCTTGGCTTCTTTGCTCAGAGCTAGGGCTCTGCCACTTGAACCACTGGAGCCACGCCTCTACTTCCAGCTTTTGGCTAAGTGGAGATGTGAGTCTGGCAGACTTTTTCTTGGTTGGGCTGGCTCCGGATCTCAACCAGCTCCCAGCTCTAGCATTTTCAAATTGTGAATTTCACCACTGGTCACATACATATTTCTATGTACATTTACAAACAACATCAACGTTTTCTATGACTAAGTTTTCACATGAGCAGCATTAGCCATAAGGCTAACAATTCCAATATGATATTCACCATGAATATATGAGCAGTCACATATTTTAAAATTAATTCATATTTGATTGGTTCTTCTCAGAGTTTTGGGTGCACAGGGACTTTTCATTCTCTAGATGACTTATTTTTTCTACAGAAAGATGTTTGTCTAACACTTGCTATACTAATTTCTCAGATATCCTATGATCCATCCCATCTATTTGCTCCAAATTCATTGAAGAGGCATTTATTATGCATCCTTATTCTCCTGATTCATCGTGATTGGCAGGGGCTCTGAATGGAAAAATATTGAAGTTCTGGTTTTAATGGATGTTCAAAAAATGGTATAAAGGGGACTTAGTGTGTAACTATCAGAGGAATTCTATAGAAATGTATTTTCTTACCCAGCTCATATCCTGGGAACCTAGGCAGCATTATTCATGCCAACATTATGTCTGCTATTTTATCTTGCCTATTTTCATTTTTAATTTTCTACCATTTTAGGTTGGCCAAAAGCTTCAAGGAGAGTTGGTTGTCGGGCAATGCCATTATCTCTTTTCTTAGCAATTTCACTGTCACAGAGGGTAAGTATGTGGTTTTCTAAGTTTGCTTGATTAAAAAGTTAAATTTAGTTTCTCATTCAAATATGGACTCAGAATAAAACATGAAAGAAAGTTATGCTAGACACAATAAAGAACAGTTTAGAATTTAACGGATCTGAAATATCTGGGGTTTATAAGGAAAGTCCTAAAATTCTGGAATATAAAAAAAAATCAAGCAGCAGAAGAAAAACATCTGTGGTCTGGGATTTGTCCTGGTCCCCAAATCCTTGGCTATCTACAAATCTTTCTTTGTCTACATCATCTGCAAAGTTCATAGATCTTTTGTTACATTAACATGCTAAGTCTGAAGAACTCTGGATAATCCTTAGGTCACATTCCATTTGTAAAAATGTGAGATAAGTATAAAACATGGAGACATTATGTTCACATTGCACTCAGTCATTGTTCATTAAGAAAATCTCCTTCTAAAATAAGTTGCAAAATATGCAGGGTTTACAGAGAGCAAAGAAGTGAACAGCAAATACCGTATAAGCCCTGTTCAAATTTATTCATGGTATAAATGATCTCAAGTTCATTTATAACAAATATATTTATTTAATATACTTATTATAATAAATATAAAATATATTGATTTAATACATAATTATAATAAATACATGTATTTAATCTAAATGTATTTATTATGTATTTATGTTTATAAATATATTTGTTATAATAAATATGTAAATATCATTATTTCCTCTTGCTCCACCTTTTTCAGATGTGAAAATAAAAGATTTGATGCGGAACATCACCAGGTTAATGGAAGAGCTTCAATCTTCCATCCACATCTCCAATGAAACCATCCACACTATCTTAGAGGCAAACATTTCCCACTCACAGGTACAGTACTACTGCTTGTACTGGGCCACCTAAGATCCCTCTGTCTAAAAGGTATCGTGTCATTTTTCTTCCTTGCCCTCTTCTTCCTCTCATGGCTGGTGGGATGAGCTCCTTTGTAAATGACATATCCAAAAGCAGAATGGAAAAGAGAGGACTGCAAAGAACCAATGGTTATCATGGTCTAATGCCAAAACCTGAGCCTTTATTGTCACAACTGTCTTTGTTCGAAGTTAGAAAGGACAAAGTTAGTGACAATATTTGTTCTAGTCCTTTCTAATGTTGATTCATGACACCTGAGGTGGGGGAGGTCTCTGCTTGGTTTTATAGATGTTCTAAAATACAGAAATAGCCTCAAATAAAAGCAACTTAAAAGATCTGAAATGTACCACTGTCCTTATGTGGAGAGTTACTGGGTGTAGTCTCACCATCTGCCACTCACGAAGAGAAATGAGTGATGGCAGGTCATGTCATCTCTAAGGTACTGGGTAAGGCAAGCAAAAGGGGCCAAAACTATTAAGCAAAATTGTGATGTGATCGATCATGGAAGAGAGAGCAGATAACTTTCATGTCCCCCATGGCAGATGTCACCTGGGTCCCTAGCAGGTGCTCTTTTCTCCTGTCCTGTCCTGTCCTGTCCTCTCCTCTCCTCTCCTCACCTCTCCTCGCCTCTCCTCACCTCTCCTCTCCTCACCTCTCCTCACCTCTCCTCTCCTTTGTCTTGATATTAGAGCTTGAACTCTTGGCCTTGAGCTCTTGCTTTTTTCCCCCCCTCAAGGCTCTACCACTTGAGCCACACCCCTACTTTCTCCTTTGTTTGCTAATTTGATATATGAATTTGGCAGCCCAGGGATTTGTCTACATTGGATCCCTTCAAACCACAGTCCTCAGATCTCAGCTTCCTGAGTAGCTAGGATTACAGGTGTGAGCCACCAGTACCAGCTGCAGTGCTTTTCTGTGGCAGCTTCTCAGCACGTCCAGTGGAATTTACCTTTTCTACAGGACCCAGAAACCGGTCAACATTTCAATTGACAACTGATTGAATCATTGTGTCATTAATTTCATGTCAATTCTGTATAGTGAAGTACAAGCATGGTAGCGTTAGTAAGAATCAATCTAAGAAATAAATGAGAAGCTAGAAATCCAAAATTTAGTTTATAGTATCTCCAAGTTACTTATAGAAAGTCACATAGGATTTTTTTTTTAAATAAAATGATCAGTTTCAGGTTATTAGGCTGGGAATTTGGGGAATGAATTTTAAGGTGAGGGAAGTTTACAGTAGTGGTAAAATTTCTTCCACTCAGCTCTCAGTTGAAATAATGGCCACTTGTGGCTTGAACTCTAGAGTTATTGCAGCATATAGCAGAATTGGGGCAGGGACTGAATTACTTTGACTAGATACCTAGGATTGCTTTAAGAGAAGTGACAAAGCCCAGTGCTTGTGGCTCATGCCTACAATCCTAGCTACTCATGAGGCTGAGATCTGAGGATTGTAGTTCAAAGCCAGCCTCATCAGGAAAGTCTGCTAAGACTATTATCTCCAATTAACCAATAAAGTGGTAGAGCGCTAGCTTTAAACAGAAAAGCTCAGAGACAGTCCCTGGGCCCTGATTACAAGCCCCTTGACTGATAGAGAGGGAGGTGGAAGAAAGGAGGGAGGGAGGGAGGGAGAGAGAGAGAGAGAGACAACAGATTAGCTAGCTATTTGGGAACCTTTTAAATTTAGCCTTATGAAATATTTTTGGTTTGGGTACAAAGATATTGTTACTTCCTGCCAGCTTTAAACAAGTGGCCACAAGGTGTCGCTGATATTCTACCATGCAAGGTCTGTACTATGTGCTATGAGAAAGCTCAACTTGGTTAAGCAATATAGCCACACTGGGCATCCTGGATGCTTGAGGGAAATCTCTGTGTCTTCTATCATTTCTTACTTCTTTGGAAGTGACAGTAAAGTTACTGTGGGCACTTGAATACTTGGACAGTTAGGGAACTGGGAGGGGTATAAACAAAGTTATATTTTTACTACTCAAATGTATAATGAAGTTATTTGCTTGGATATCTAAGAATATCCATGAACCTACCTGTATCTGCAGATCTACATAGGAATTTGCAGGTGTCACTTTGAGCTTTGATTTGTTTGTTGTTTAGATTTTTACCCTGAGCAACACTCCATTTTTTCTTTTCTTTTTTTTAACATTTAACACCCATTTTTTGTATCATTTTTCTTACTTTTGTCCCCTCCTATTGGCTTATCTCTGGTAGTTTTGATGGCCAGTTTGCAAGTTTATGATATTGGATTCATGGTATAGGCCACTGGTAGGCTGCAGGGACCTTGTAAAATTTCAGAACCTCTGCAAACTCATCTACTTATGATCTTCCTGCTTGCCAGGCTTGAATCTGATATCTGAAGCTCAGAGTCCCCTAAGGAAACCAGCATTCCATGGAGTCAGCACAGCAAATACATAACCAATGATACCCATGGAGGAGAAGAGACTGGGGACATTTTCTGTAGTGCAGATAACACAATGATTGATAGGGGTTGTGGACAGTAGGCAGGCAATGTTGGAGGCCAACTGGAATAATTTGAGAGCCAGAGTTTGGGAAATTGTACCAAATGAGCAGGCACAGGGATGAGCCAAAAGGAGGTTAAGAACAGGCTGATCCATTACTGCCAAGCGATTTCCCTTCCCAGACCTCTTCTCACAACCTGCAATGGGAACTTATAGGAAGCTCTTCTCCCTTGAAAAATCTCCATTCTTGCAGAGCACTGGTGGCTTATACCTATAATCCTAGCCACTCAGGAAGCTGGTATCTGAGGATCTTGTTTGAAGCCAGCTCAGGCAGGAAAGTCTGTGAGATTCTTATCTCCAATTAATCACAGAAAAAGCTGTAAGTGACTGTGGTTCAAATGGTAGAGCACTAGCCTTGATCAGTGTAACTCTTATAGAACTCTCCTCCTCCTCCTCTTCCTTCTCCTCCTCCTCCTCCTCTTCCTCCTCTGCCTCTTCCTCCTCTGCCTCCTCTTCCTCCTCTTCCTCCTCTGCCTTCTTTTTCCTTTCCCCCTTTGGTTAGAGTGGTATTGGTGTTGCTAGGCATGTCAGTCATATCAGCTATTTGTACTTTCACACACACTGTCATTTGCGGCTCACATCTCTAATTCCCCTAACAAACCTTTGTAGTCCCTGGGTGTCATTGTTACTCTGTTGTGTAGACAAGGAAGCTGAGGTCCATTTAGTCATAGTAACTTAGAGATCATGCAGTAAGTGCTGGAGTCAGCTCTTACTAGTCTTGGCTCTACTATAACTCCTTCTGGCTCCTTACTACCAATGTTGCAACCTGTAGCTTCTGTCCTTCTGGACAGATCCTTGTTAGCTCTCTGCTCATCTCTCATAGTTGGCTCCTGAATTTGTCTCTTTATTATGTCAGCAGAGCCGAGCAGAGATGCATTCAGAACAGAGAAATGCCCATGGGAATGTAGAGAATCTGTCCTTTTCTTACCTGACCTCACTTCACTCTTTTATCTTTCAAAGGTTAATTTGGCAGAGTCTCTCTTTCCAATGATCTTGTACTCTGTATGGTTGTATGGTTTTGTTCTAGTCACAAAGGGACCAAGAGTAAGTACCCAGTTCACATGTTTTCTTCATCAAGTCTAAGACTATTAGCTGGGAATAAGTACTGTCTTCTATGCTCTGTTGTAAACATAAGTCATCTTACCCAAAGATGTTTAGTAGACTCTTGCTGAAAGGACAAATACCTCTCTTGGGTATCATGTCTTTTTGTTGTTGTTGTTTTGTGCTAATCACTGAACTCAGGGCCTGGACACTGTCTCCGAGCTTTTGTGCTCAAGGCTAGCACTCTACCATCTGAGCCACAGCTCCCCCTTCTGGCTTTTTAGTGGCTCATTGGACTTTCCTGTCTGTGCTAGAAACTTAAAAAAAATCTAAGTGACTAATAGCAGGAAGATACCTGCCCTGGGATTTAAATCTTCTTGCAGTTTTTCAAGCCAAATACAGATATGTAGATAAACATCAAGAACTCAGCATCTCTCATGATGAGCAAACCTTAACTCAATACACCCGGGTTGTAAATCCAATAGGAGCCATGTTCCCAGCCATGCAAAGGAGTGTTACCTTTTTTTATTCATTTTTTTATTATCTTAATTATTTTATTCATTAACTTGTTTCAGGTGTTCTTCAAAAAGAAGGACAGAATATTAAAAACACAAATTATAAAATTTGGAAAGTCATAGAAATGTGCCACTAGGGTTTGTTGTCTTGTGTATGATGACTGTTGATCCTTCAGAAGACAGGGTGTAAGATGCTCCAGGTCCTTCACTCCCCTGGTGGTTACAAAAGATGGAAAAAAAATTCAATACAAATATTTTTGCTCTAGGAAAAAATTCTAAGAAAGAATGGTCAATTCCAAGACCTTTTCTTGAAACCATGGTGAGACACACAAGGATTTTCATTGGGCCAGCCTGAGTTGATAATCATAAAAAGCTGGGAGCACATTGTCTGGAGTCAAGGGTTTGGCTTTAGCTGGTAAACTTTTCCAGTAAAACTTTTATCTTTGAGCCTAAAGAGGAGCTGTTCTAATAAAAGCCAGCGGGGCTGGACACCAATGGCTCACGCCTGTAATCCTAGCTACTCAGGAGGCTGAGATCTGAGGATCATGGTTCAAAGCCAGCTCAGGCAGGAAAAGTCCGTGAGACTTTTCCAATAAACCACTCAGAAAACTGGAAGTGGCGCTGTGGCTCAAGTGGGTAGAGCATTAGCCTTGAGCAGAAGAGCTCAGGGACAGTGCCTAGGCCCAGAGTTCAAACCCCATGACCAACCCCCCCCGCCCCCCCCAAAAAAAACCAAAAACAGTGGTGGACACCTGTATCCACCAGATCTCTCCTAAGGATTTCCCCTTACCTTCAAAAACCACAACTGGAATTAGAGGCAGCAAGAAAACATCTCTAAAGTGTGCTGCTCCATATATATTCTATATAAATGAAGGGTTGCTTGGTTAATTAATTGTAAAAGCAGATGCTAATTTGAATGTCCCTAGAAGGTACTTTTAGATGAGGTTAACATTTAAATAAGCAGACTTTGGGAAAAATGGGTCATTCTTCCTGGTGTAGTGGGCCTCCTCATCAGTCCCCTGAAGGGCCACGTCATGCCTATAATCCTAGCTTTTTAGGAGGCTCAGATTGTTAGGATCACAATTTGAGGCCAACCTGAGCAGAAAAAATTCACATGGCTCCTTCTCAATGAATTGGCCTTGTGTTAATTGGCAGCATTGGCACACACTTGTTATTCTAGCCACTTCCCAGCCTAACATAGGTGAATTGTGCCCAAGTTCACACCCAGGCATGAAGCAAGATCCCACTGAAAAATGACCATCCCAAATCAGGGCTCAGCAGTAAAAGCATCTGCTTGAGAAGAAGATACTGAGTTTGAACTCCAGTATTCCCCTACCTTCCACACTCCAGCAATCCATAAAGTCCATAAGAGGAAAAAACTATGGAGGACCCTCAGAGAAGAGTTCTGCCTTTAAGGGGCCATCAGATTTGAGGCCATTAATGCTGAAGCAACATCCATGGGTTTCCAGCCTGCTGGACAACTAGGTAGATTTTGTGCTTCCCAGCCCTACAGCTTTAGGAGTCAATTCCTTAAAATAAATTGATGTGTGTGGTTCTTGCTTTATAAGCAAAGCACCTCTCTCTCTTTCTGGTCTCTCTTTGTTTCTCTCACTGCCCCTATGTTTCTCTGTTTCTGTCTCTATCTCTCTAACACCCACACATACACACACACACACACATACACACACACACACACATACACACACACACATATGCACACAAACACACACTTTATTGGGGGCCCTAATAATCCTTGATGATTTCTTAATGACTTTCTTCTGGGAATTTTTGGCATTGGAAACAGCTGGTGAGTCCCAGGTTGTCACAGAACTCCTAAAAAACATGGATGGTAGTTCCACATGTAGGTCTCATTTGAGTAGAATGTCTCATAATGATTGTGCTCATTAGAAGAATAACAGTACCATATAAGGTACAGTTGGTTTTGTTTTTATTTTGCTTTTTAGTTTTATCAACAATGTCACTCAGTGAAAGACATATTCAAGCTGCAGTCCCTGACTCTGGCATGTAAGATTGATAAAGGAGGTTCTGTGGTTCTCTAATGGTCTTTCCTCTGAGCTTTATTTACTTCCTCTTTTTAAAATTGATGATGACAAACTTGGTAATCCCATTTTAATCAGGAAGTAGAGGAGGCAAAAACTAGTTTCACACTGTTAGCTGAACAAACAGATAAACTGAAAGCAAAGGGGAAGACTCAGCATCAAGCAAGCAAGACCCAAACTCCAAATATGAGGGCAGGGGTTGGGAGCATGGGGTAGAGTGGGTGTGCACTCTGAGGTGAGCCTCACTGGGAGAGGAGTAAAGGGTTGTGCCATTGTGTTCTGAGCACTCAGGGCAAGCAGTAGAAGCAGTCAGAGAATGACATGTGATTTCAGCAATAGGTTTATTCAAAATGTTGAAGACTTTATTGTTGTATCTTGAATGTTTCCCAAAGGCCTGGTCTCCAGCCTATAGTTCTGCTAGTGGTAGTGGAACTTCAGAAAGTTGGGCCTCATGGGAGGAAGTTAGGTCATTGGAGGAGACATTGGGATCATGACCCACCATATCTTTCTTTTCATTTGCTGATGTTCCTGAGATGAACAGTTTTGCTCAATCATGATCTCCCTATCTGCATTTCCACAGGCTCAAGGACAATCAGCCAATGGATCAGAAATTGAACCCTTTGAATCCAGCAGCCACAATAAATGTTCTCTCCTTTTTTATTGTTTATCTGAGGTATTTTGTCACAAAGATGGAAAGCTGAGTAAGACAGACCTGTATGCAGGTGACTCTTCAACACATCTTCAGAACAGGTTCCCAGGTAGCCAGGAGGAAGCAGAATGTGAGGAGCTGAAGCTCAAAATGTCCTTGTTATGCTCACTTCTTATCCTTGTGCTTTGAAACAGATTCTCACCAGTGTCCTCACTGCAGCTTTTTCTGGAAAGTGTGACCAAAAAATTCTTCATCTCCTGCTGACATTTCCTGAGGATGAAAAGTCTTGGCTTGCTGTGAAGGAGCTCTGTGGCTTGCCTGGGTCTGTAGTATATACTCTGATTGTGGCCATGAGTCAGAACCTGAACCTGCGGACTTTTGTTTACAAAGTAAGGAGGAGGGGTTGTTGGGGCAGAGGATGCTGCTGCCTGGCTGTGCAGAATCAATCATCTCATCCTTGATATCCTGGGAGATTGGTTCCAGGATCTTCCTTGGGTACCAAACTCCAAGGATGCTCAAATCTTTTACATGAAACAATGTGGCATTTCATTAAACCAGTGCACATCTTCCTGCACTCTTTAAATCACCTCTAGATGACTTACAATGCCGAAGACCTAATAAAAGTGATGTAAACTGATGTACATAGTTTTAATGCTGTCTGTAGGCTATCTGTATTTTTAAAAATTAAAAATGTTTAATGCTAGATGTAGGATTTTTTTTAATGCTGGAACTATGGCTTGGGCACTTGAACCCAGGGCTTTGTGCTCTCACTTGGCTGTTTTGCTCAAAGTTGGTGCTCTGTCACTTGAGCCATAACTCTACTTCTGGCTTTTTGGTGATTAATTAGAGATGAACATCTTATGGACTTTTCTGCCAGGGCTGGCTTTGAATCTTGATCCTCAGATCTCAGCTTCTTAGTAGCTAGGATTATAAGTGTGAGCCACCAGTACTGGGCTAGAGGCAATTAAAAAAAAAGATGTTTTTAGTCAGTCTCAGTTGATGGAATCCATGACCAACTGTACTCTCTGTAGCCTGATAACAACAAGGAGGGATACTGTGGGAGACTCAGCCACTTCTAGGGTTACCTTATGGTAACATTTTGTAGGACATCTGTGGAGATAGGCCCTTTGGGATATTTGGCACAGTTGTTGGCAATCTATACATTAAGTGAAGAAGACCAACAGCATCCAACATCACCCAAGCCTAGTGTCAGGTTTCCTTCCTCCCTCTGGGCTAGCTTCCTGGAGTATTGAGGGCAGCTAAGGTAAACCCGGTTCACGCAGAGCTGCCAGAGGATGGCAGTTACACTGGCCCTTTCCTTCTCCGTGGCCTGGGTTGTGGCCTCTGTTCCATAGTCTCTATGGTGTCTCCAGCTATCCTAGAGTGGTCCTGGGGAAGGGACTGGGCACATTAGCCTCTTATCCCTGCCAGCTCCTCACTTGCCCCACAGTGGCTCTTCACACAACAGGATAGCTCTTTAGCTGGAGGAATGTGAGGATGGTAGCATCTCCAGGAAAGAAGTAAAAGTGGGAGGTGAGTAGGGCTGGAATGAGGCCTAACCCAGCTGGGTTGATCTTGTTTTCAGGCTGTCCTTCCTGGAAGTTCTTCTTCCTGGCTTCCACGTGAGTGCTTATCCTATCATGTCCAGAAGCCTCAAGCCTGACCCTGGAGGAACAGCATTGCTTTAGTTTCTCCTTAGGATTTTATATCACAACATCTGGATTAACCTGTAAGGTTATAGGATATGGCAAGGTGGCTATGGTCACTCCATGTCTGGGACAAGTCTTTGGTTAGGAAAGGGTAGATTTGCTGTTTCAGCCATTCATAGTCTCCATCCCTTTTATTACTCCAAGTCTTGTTTTCAATTTTTCTATCTTTAGGTAGTTGTACAAAGGAGTTTCGATTCAATATAACAATATGAGTACAATATATCTTGATCAATGTCATCCCTTCCATTATTCTCTCCTATTTCTCCCAACTGTACTTATCCCCTCAAGTTTCATATTTGTATACTGGATATTATGACTATATTCTCCCACCTTCCCTCTCTCCATTCATCTGCCTCTTTTTCCCTTGACCATCTCTACTCCAGACAACGTATGTCTCAGCTTGTTAATATTCATGCTGGTAAACTATCAGTGAGTCATTCAAAGGAATTACAGCACTGCAATCCTCCCATGGTAAATACCATACTTTAGACAATGTATGTATATGTGCATGTGACCATGTATATGTTTTCATATATGTTTATAATTTAGATCTAACTTCCATGTTTGAGAGAAAACATGTGCCCATTTTTTTCTCTCTGAGCCTGACTTACTTCACTTAATATAATGATTTCCAGGTCCATCTATTTTGCTGCAAACGACATAATAATACTATTCTTCCTGATGGATACGTAAAATCTACACACACACACATACATATATGAATTTTGAAAGGGAAGTAATAAGCAAACAAAAGGCCATACCCATGGATTCTCCTGATTGAGTTGTGTTTCTTGTCTTATGGAAATTTGTAATGCTTATGAGGCCCCAAAGGTCAGCTGCAGGAATAGAACTCTAAGAGCAGGAAGAACAAAGGATCTGTGACCACCGAGTTTCTCACTCCAATGGGGAAACTAGAAATCCTACATGCAATTAATATGCCAAGGAAAGCGATTTGGTTTGCTCTTATTTTTGCCACCTATGGAAAGAAAATTAAAAAAAATATGTATCCATTCATCCAACAAGTACTAACTGTGCAGCTAGTACCGTCAGCTGTTTCTTCTTCATCAGCTGCATAAATGAGAGACAAAAAATAAGGTTACACCTTTGTGGAATTCACATTGTAGAACTGAGAATGCGAAAATTGAAAGGTAGTAACAGCACAGTGAGTTTTCAAGGACTCTATAACAGTTTTTTTTTCTTTTTTAAGGAGCCTGCCTATATTCCTAGCCCTATACCTGAAAACTCAGGAAACCTATCTCTTTGAGCTTGTTTTCTTTCCCACAAAATCACCACATCCCCAAGGTGTTAGGACTGAGACGATGAAGTGTTGTGATCTAAGTAAAAATCTTCTTTGTATTTTTGTTTTGTCTTGTTTTGTTCTTTGGTGGTACGAGGGTTTGAATTCAGGGACTTGTGCTTGCTAGGTTTGCTTTCTTGGTCAGTACTCTACCATCCGAGCCACACTTCCAGCCTAGCTTCTTGCTGGATATTTTGGGGCTGGATATAGACTGCCCAGGCTAGCTCCTCCAGATCTCATACTCATAGCTAGGAATATAGGTGTGAGTCACTTGCACCCTGCTTTTTAAGCCTTGTTGATATTAGTCATTTTAAAGATGCAAAGAAATATTTTTAAAAATGATTTGAATTTTAACTATGATTAGATTTGTTCTTGGTTTATATATTAAAAATATAATACGGGTACAATTTAATATGCTCCCACCAAAATGCCAGATTTATAGCCTTTGAATTATAAAAAGTTTTAAAGAGCATATCAAACATATCTTAGAACTGCAAGAGAGAATAGAAACAAGTAATCAAGTTTTCACTGCTCCAAAGATGCTTGTGAGAGTAAAAATAATGCTGGTTATTTTTCTCTTTCTCTCTTTTGTTGGTCCATAGGCTCTGATACCTCCTGAAGCAAATGGCCTGCTCAAGTCCCTGTTGGATGTCATTTCCAGCCTCAACTCCCTGCTTGATAGAGCCCAGCATGTATTCCAGTACCTTCCAGAATTTCTTCACTCATTGAAAATCACTGCCTTGCTAGATATGCCAGACTTTCCACAGGTGTTTGATCTTTGCCCTCCAGGGACATGGTTGAATTTGCTCTTCTTTGTATTTGCTTCCTCTTTCCTTTATCTTCCAAAATTTAAAAATTGTACTAGACAACAACAGATAGGCACAAGAAGATCTTTAAGTGGTGCTTGAGGCAAGGCTTTGAGAGAATATGTCTTGGAATCTCCCTAATAATGGGGTGGACAAACAACCACTAATGTGGAAGTTGGAAAAGTTCATGCTTTGTCTATTACGAAGTCAATTATTAGCATAAGTGAGATTTCAAGGACCTGTTTCACTTAATTCTGAAAGCAAATTGCTTTCAAGAACCTTAAGACATTTATTTACATATAAATAATTGGCTTACAAATTACAGATCATTTTCTGCTAATGCAAACACACATTTGAATTAGGTTCGTGGCTTGATATTAGTTTTTGCTTGTAGTCTGCCTCTGATGGAACTTCATCAGAGGTATGTACGGAGGGGGGGATCATGAACAGCTGGAGGTTTAAAATGAAGATCCAGAAAGTGAGGGGCTTGATCCTCCTGGAGGCAGTCTGATCATCAATAATAATTTAGATAGCTATCAACAATTAGGGTAATTTGGCAGTCTAAACATGAATTAAGAGTATTACATTAGGGATATTTTATAGATTAATGCTTTATTACTTGACAAACAAGGACTTATTTGTGTACCAAAGAGAAAGAGAGGCACACACACACACATAGACATACACACAGACACACACACACACACACACACACACACACATACACACACAGAGGTGAGAGATTTCCCAGCAAGTCACTGCAGCCATTGGAATGGTATCCCAAGGACAAAAAAGACTAAAGCAAATATTCTATTCTTTCAACTTGTTCAACACTTTATGTATTTAGTCAAAGAAAGGATTATGCTGTCATAAGTCTTTTGGAAACTTATTTTTAAGTAACTGTGTAATTTCAATTTATTTTTCTTATGTGTCCAGATTTCACAGAATGGCCAAGCTAGAAGTTCAGCCTTTGATTCTTTCCAGTCCATGATGAAGCTGGTTTGTAAGGATCAAACATCTTTTCTGAGCAATTCGAACATGTTCATTAACTTACCCAGAGTCAATGCACTCTTGGAAGATGACAAAGAAAAGTTCAACATTCCTGAAGACTCAAGTAAGACAATAGTAATACATGGTTAGGTTTATCGATAATTGGACTTATATATGTCTGTATGGAAGACGGATTGGTAAACACCAGCATCCAATTGGCTCCATCATTTTTAATGGGATCACTAGGAGCTGGCATAACAATTGACATAGAAGCCCCAGTCCTTGAACACAGGCTAAGCCTTTCATGTGTGTCACCAAACATCTGAGTCTGAAATACTTAACACACCTGAAACCACAGCCCCTTGCGGATCCCCAGTTGAGTGGTGTTAGTGAGGGATCCGAGGGTAAAAACCTCAGACACCATTTTGACCTTTGCAAAATGGCAGTATTCTACATGGAGAACTTATTAAGTAGCCTTCTACCAATTTGTTTTACATAGACCTTCATTTCAAATGAAAGCAGATTGGTGAATAATTTTCTAGTCCCACTTTCAGTGAACAATAATGATCATTACCATCATTTTATCTAATATAATAATAATAATAATAATAAAATTTGGTGATGCTGAGGTCAAACCTGGTGACTGATGCATGCCAAGCAACACTCTAAACCTGAGCTACATATCCATGCCAGTGAATACCTTTTATTTTATTTATCTTTTTGGCTGTACTGGGGTTTGAATTTGGAATCCTGCTTTTGCTATGCACGAACTCTATGACTTGTGTTGTGGGGCTGAACTCTGGGCCTGGGTGCTGTCCCTCAGCTGTTCAGCTCAAGGCTAGCACTCTACCACTGGAGCCATAGCGCCACTTCCGGCTTTTTTGTTTTTTTCTGGTTATGTGGTGCTGAGGAATTGAACCCAGGAACTCATGCTTGCAAGGCAAGCGCTCTACCACTGAGACACCTTCCCAGCCCCACTTACAGCCCTTTTTGATATGAGTAATTTTTCAGATTGGATTTTATATTATGCTTGGGCTGGCTTGGACCACGATTCTGTTATTCATACTTCCTGCATAGCTAGGATAACCAGTGCATACCACCATGCCCAGATTTTTATTGATTATGCTTGGCTGGCCTTGAACCATGATCCTTTCAATTTCTGCCTCCCAAGCAGTTAGGATTATAAACATGAGCCACAGTACCCTTCTGGCTTTCATTAGAAAGGCAGACTAAACACATTGGCAGGGATTTTGGGGTTCAGGCATTTCAGGTCTCCTCTGCCTCAGTGTACCCAGTTATGTGTCTTTGGTCACATTTTTAAAATCTCTCTGAACCATGTTATTAGCATCCAAAGCATGAACATGTAACATCTAGAAGAGTAATGGAGATGATGTTTAGCAGAGTGGTATAAAAGTATCCTCTGCTGCATAACCAGTCACCACTCAGTGGCTGAAGACATGATACATTCACCATGTCGTAGCTTTCTGAGGCCAACATCTACCACTGGTTCTTTGCTCCTTTGCTCAGATCTTACAGACGTTGACTGGCCTGTGGCCTGTGCTGGGTTGGACTGTGAGGTGCTCAGGTAGTTCTCTTAGCTGCACAGTTGCTCAAGTCACATCAAGACCCATATGAACATGTTGTTGATGCTTCCAGTCCGTTTGAAAGAGTTTACCTGATTCTTAGTCAGGATACCTGATGGCTCGGCCCAAAACTAACTTCAATTCAAGAGATGAAAGGACCTGAATGTTGCAGTCATTGCATTCACAGGCTCTGTCTTCACTCATTGCGGCCCCCATCCTGCAAATAAAATCTCCCAGGAAAATAAGAATTCTAGGAAGCATCTTAGAATTCTTCCTACCATACTCAGAATGTACAGTAGACCTGAAAACAGAAGCACCAATGGGACTGGGGAAGGAGAAGTGGAAAGAAATAGGTAGAGAACGAAGAGGTAGATACAATGCTTTTAGAGCTTCCTTAAAAGCTAAGGCCAGGTGGTTGGAGATTTGTCCCAGTTGGTAGAGAACTAGCCAATGAACAAAAGTGTCAGGTACTGAGTTCAAGGTCCAGTCTTGAACCTAAAAAAAGAAAGAAAGAAAAGAAGCTGTAGGCCAGTGTGTTCCATAGCTGGTAGATAATTTGGATAGCAGTTAATACTGGAGTAATTTGGTAGTAGAAAGGCCTATTCAAGTATTTATGTTTAATGATTTGGTTATCTTTTTCTCTAATCCACTTTATTTCTTGTGTTTTGTATTTGAATCTTGAGGACGATTGATTAACCCCATCTACCATTCATCTATCATCCATCCATCCATCCATCCATCCCTATCCATCTACCCAGTCCTTCCACTTACACTGAGGACCAATTTTGTTGGTACTTACATGCATACACACACACACACACACACACACACACACACAGAACTATATATATATATATATAGTGTCTATATTTTTCTAAAATAAAAATCACTGCCATCCATACTAAGCTTGAAGTTGAAAGAGCAAATAGTTAAAAATACACAACGTCTATATTTAACTTACAATGTCTTACATAATTGTATAGTTAATTTATATTTTAGTAAATTATTTTACTGTATTAGAAATTTGCTTGCTTTTCTGCTCACATGGAGACTTCTGGAAGAATGAAATTAATACTTCATAATGATTACCACAGCTGGGTCTTGGTGGCTCATACCTTTATGAATTAATTCAGGGAGATGAGACCTATAGGATTGAAGTTCGAAGCCAGCCTAGGCAGAAAAGTCCATGAGATTCCACCTCCAAAATAACCAGCAAAATGCAAGGCTAGAGGCGTGGTTTAAGTGCTAGAGTACCAGCCAAACAAGTCAAGCAAGCTCCAGGCTCTGAGTTCAAATCAGCAAAACAAATTACCAACCAAACATCACAAAATAACTCTTTGTAACTTGTACATTACAAACCATTTAATCAAAACTAATATAATTAGTCCTGTTTAAATTTTCTCTTTTTTAGTAAAAGAGCTACTTATATTGACAATCCATTATTCAAACCTTATAATATTTCATCACTGAACATTCTGGTAATGAATTGCCAACTTGTTTAGACAATTTATTTAAGTACACTTTTAATTTAACTAGTGTAGTGAGGAGGCCTATCAGAAGTGTTTTTTGTGAAAATAAGATGCTTTCACATAACAAAAGTAACACGGTTGACAGTTCTGCATCAGTGTATCAGAGAAAATCCGGAAGTTACTTGTAAAGCTGAGTCCATAAGATGGTAACCAGGTGTTTTCAATATTGTGACTATTGAAATGAGAAATTTCTTATTCTAAAACAGATAAAAAACATCTCACTTTTAAATGTCAATGCCATCACTTTCTGAGAGTCTTAATTTTTTATGTTTCTTTTATGTCATGGGAACAAACATAGCATCCTAAAGTTTCAGAGATTTGTATGCTTGTTTTTTATTTTTGCCAGTACTGGGGTTTGAATTCAGGGTCTCAAGCTTGTTCAACTTTCTTGTTTGACTGGTGCGCTGCCACTTTAGCCACACCTCCATCTTAGCTTTTGTTGATTGTTTGGTCATGGGGTATCATAGACTTTTCTTTTTTCTTTTTTTCTTTTTTCTGGTCATGTGGCCTGAACTCTGGGCCTGGGCACTGTCCCTCAGCTCTTCAGCTCAAGGCTAGCGCTCTACCACTTGAGCCACAGTGCCACTTCCAGATTTTTCTCCTTATGTGGTATTGAGGAATTGAACCCAGGGCCTCATGCATGCAAGGCAAGGACTCTACCACTGAGCCACCTTTCCAGCCCTATCATAGATTTTTCTGTCCCAACTGGCTTCAAACTGAGATCCTTCTGATCTCAGCTTCTTGAATACCGTATATTACAGGCATGAGCCACTACTACTGCATTCTAAAGTTTCTGAGTAAATGACATCTGCTGAAGAAAGGAATATAAAAATACTTCTTGTGGCCCGGCATTGGTGGCTTACACCTGCAATCCTAGATAGTCAGGAGGCTGAGATCTGAAGATCTCCGCTCAAAGCCAGCCCAGGCAGGAAAGTCCGTGAGACTCTTATCTCCAATTAACCACCAGAAAACCGGAAGTGGTAGTACTATGGCTCAAGTGGTATAGCGCTAGACTTGAGCTGAAGAGCTGAGAGGCAGTGCCCAGGCCCAGAGTTCAAACCCCATGACCGAAAAAAAAAAAACTCCTTGTGCCAGATGCCTGTGGCTCATGCCTGTAATCCTAGCTACTCAGGAGGCTGAGATCTGAGGATTGTGGTTCAAAGCCAGCCCAGGCAAGGAAAGTCCATGAGACTCTTATCTCCAATTAACCACAAAATGCAAGAAGTGGAGCTATGGTTCAGGTGGTAGAATGCTAGCCTTGAACTAAAGAACTCAGTGACAGTGCTTAGACCCTGAGTTGGAGCCCCAGTACTGGTACAGAAAAACACTCCTTGTTTACTTCCCCTGTTCAGATTTGTGTCATGAAAAAATATCTGAATCACTCAACTAAAAGTATGCATATGGATATGTATAAAAGTTTGCTGTTAATCTGGATTTTCTGCCTTTACTTTTTTCCTCTTTTAATTATGACAGCACCATTTTGCTTGAAGCTTTATGAGGAAATTCTACAGTTTCCGAATGGTGCTTTGGTGTGGTCCTTCCTAAAACCTATACTACATGGAAAAATATTGTATACACCAAACATTCCAGAGATTAATAAGGTCATTCAAAAGGTATGTTGAGACAAATGAAAATCTTACACACCTGATGCATGATATTCTGGAAAGAAATGTTTGCCCATGTCCAATATAATTATTATATGCACTACATTATAATTTTTTTTAAAACTGATTATAATTCATTTGCCCCCTGGCTTTCCTGTTCCTCTGATCAAGTGTTAACTTGTGGAGTTCTTTCTTAAAGGACATTGTAGAGGCAGTGAATAATACTTAGAATCACTAAGTCAGTGAACTCATACGACGTTAATATTAAAGGCAAGGACAATTAGACAGGATAGGTTTAGGTTGAGCACAGGGGAATAGTTCCACAAAAGCAGACAGAAACAGTCAATTCTACTTTGCTTGATATTCCTGGTAGTTAAGACTCAGAGATGTACTCCCCAACCCATATGCTAACTGTTAGCCTTTTGGTGAGTGATGATTTCAAATTGAGTGGGGCTTTGCCTGACCTTCTGGAGAATAAGGTGAGAGGAGAAGGTCCAAAATTTTCCAGAAAGAATTTCTCCATGGTTTGTTTTTGTTTTTCCCTTCTTTTCCTGGCTTATTTAATTTCTCCAATCTACTTTATGATTGTTTGCAATTTCTTTAAAAAATAATTGTGTCACATTGTCCTGATGTCTTTACTTGTCTGATTCCTTTTTAAATGATCAGGTTTTATTTTCTTGTGAACCTGCAGGTACCTTGAAAAGGGGACACTATGCCGGAGACATGAGATGCTTTGAACTTAATGGCAAACACAAGAGATGAGATACACATTAAACTAACTTCCAAGTTTCTAATAGTGTCAACGACTTAAATGTTAAGAGTGCAATATGGCTGCTGTTGGCTCACATCTGTAATCCTAGCTATTGAGGGGCCTGAGATCCTAGGGTCATAGTTCAAAGCCAGCCCTGGCAGTAAACCCTGTGAGAGAGACTCTTATTTCCAATTAAGCACCCAAAGAAGTCTGAAGAGCTGTAGCTGCTCAGGGACAGCAGCCAGGCCCTGCGTTCAAGCTCTAGGACCAGTGCGTATGCACGTGCACACGCGCACACACACACATACACACACACACACACAATCCAAAAGAGTGTTGTATGATCATATGGTCAGTTAAGTCACTGCTGACTACAATCACTTACATAACATCTCTTTTTCCTGCCTTTGCGCACAATGAGGTCAGAGTGAGTCTCCTGAAAGCTGGCCTCTTAGCCCAGGGACGTTAGTGATCACAACCTAGTCTCAGTCCTGTTTATAAGCCTTTTTGCTTTCAATCTTGAAAATGATTTTGCCAAAAGATTGGACTTACAATGGAACGGTAATGATTGAGGTATTAAGTTATGGCATACAGTAGTCACTCTGTCCAGTGGAGCCCAGGATGAGTCCACAGCTGTGCTGAGGCTGGCGGCTCAGGCCAAGGCAGGGCCCAAGTCAGGGTGAGGCGATTTTCCTCATGGGATAAATCTTAGAATTTTGCAAAGTTTAGGAACTTCGTAGGAAATGGCCCTATGACACAGTCTTACTTTAGATGTACAATTTAAAAAGAAGCTATAGTTTATTTTTACAATTATGTTATACACTATTAAAATGTTAATATTATCAACGTGTTTCTATATTGTTCATATTATGTTATATGATTTTTCACAACAATAATTAGTATGATGACCTTTGCTTTGGAAATGCTCATCAACTGGAAACAAAGCAAAGGCCAACAGACATAATAAATGATTAATCTCAATTGATCTCTTCAAGTTGGGGTGGGTTCTGGGCATCAGCGTGCAAAGATTTCACTGGCTCTTGCTTGGTCTCTTGTTGGATTTTGCAGTCAGAATACATACCTTTGCCAAGGTCTCATGAAGGGGCAGACATGACATTTGAACCTGATCTGTTTTATTACACAAACAAAGTATTTAGGGTTTTTTTTGCTTTACTGAAGTGCTTTTCCTCAAGGGGATTCACATGTGAATAAAATCCAGTTTATCCTCTTGGAGTCATTGATCAGGATATGAAGGTGAGGGTCCAAGTGACAGTGTGGATGAGGAAGAGACTTCCTCTGAGAGGACCCTGCTCAAGCCAGGCATATAAAGAGATAGGCTGACTTTTCATGTCATCTCTCTAGCATAGTAGATTCTCATTGGGTCTGAACTGAGAGAGGAGAGCAAGTAGAGTTTTACATGTCATTGCCCCAATTTCCATGGAACAGTTATTTCTATAAGTTTTTGTTTCATATTTATTTTTAAATGCTGGTCCTTGGGCTTCAACTCAGGGCTTGGACACTGTTCCTGATTCTTTTGCTTGAGGTTACTACTGTTCTACCACTTGAGTCACAGCTACACTTCTGCCTTATTTGATAGTTTATTAGAGTTAAGTGTCTCATGGGCTTTCTTGCCCAGGCTGGCTTTGAACCACAAATCTCAGATCGCAGCCTCCTAAGTAGTTAGGAGCACCCAGCATTCTTTCTGTGAGTTTTAAGGTACCATTGATACTTTCTCAAAGATTATTTTCATCTCACAAGAAAACCAGGTGGGGTAGGTGTTATTAAACCCATTTTACTTACTAACTATAGTAAGAATCGGTTAAGTTTACATTTATATTTGCATTATCAACTAGGAAGTGAAAGTCCATGATTCACATTAATGTTTAGTAAACTTAAACAGCCTAGATTCTTTGTTATGTCTTAGTTATCAAGTAATAAGGATCCTGTACACTAAGGATACCTTTACTGTCTTCGTTTGGGATGCTGCTTAATTAGTTATAGAAATTGACACCATGCTTATGGCTTTGAGTAGGAAGGTGTGGCATTTCACCCTTCTGAATTCCTTCAGAGGTACTTCTTTGGGAGGATGAAAATGAAGTCAAAGATGAAGACAGAACTATTTCTGTTTTTATAATTGAATGGAAATAAAGCCTGATGATTAAGTAACTCACGTAGAAATGGAAATGCTTGGTTTGGATAATGATCAAGATGAAAAATGTCAGGGAGTAGTAGTTGCCCAGGCCTGGACTCTATAAATACAGCCAGCAGAGCATGGAGACCAGGAGTTCTGCACTGGGGACTGTTTACATGGATGGAATGATGCATGAAGGAGATTCAAGACCTCCAGGCTGAGGTCATCCCCAGAGAGTCCTGCAGCGGGAATAGAATTCATAGCAATCTGCTTTCTGACCTTAGGCATCTAATCAGTGATCTAAGAGCATGTTGTCAGCCTGGAGCAAGGTGCTCAAGTGGGTGAAAATGTTCGACCTAAAACATTTTATCAGATCTCAGGAATGTTGCCCCAAGTAGAAATAATTACAGTTTATGATGAGATATGTTTGATATAATCCTCTATAAAACAGCAGGATTCAAAAGCTCTATCAGTAGGCCTATGGATCTACTCTTTCTGTGAGATTAGATGTTGTCCAGACCTGGAGATATTTAGATGTCCTTCTTTTCCCCTTAGAAGTTGTATGTCTGTGAGCTTCTATTACTCTAACTTTCAGTTCCAGTTAATAACTGTAACTACCACTATGAAATGGAGTCTCGGCTCTGCCCACTTGACCACCAATCGCTTCCTCCAGATTGCTGAGGAAATTTTCTCAGAATCTTGTGACCAGTCAAGGACTCAACTTATTTTCTCCAACTCATGAACTTTTCTGGATTGTTCAGTCCTTGTTGAAGGAGAGTATGTCCAGCCTTTCTGTTTGTCTGGGAAGGCCAGGTCCCTTTAATAAAGGGACTATAGAGTGCCCTTTCTCCTTTCCTCCATCTTTCCACCCTCTAACCTCTCCTTTTATCCATCCACTCAACCACCCACCCAGTTATCCATCCATTTACCCAATCATCCATCACTCCATGTATCCATGGATGCATCCATCTATTCCTGCATTCATCTGTCCATCAAGATGGTGAAGAATTATACTATTTTAAGTTTGAAATGTGTTGAGTGGAAATGGGAGCTCTTCCCTCTTTATTTCATTTAAATTATTTTCCTTAGGATATAGGATAGACTCTTTTTATTCTGGGCTATATAGTTGCATACCTTTTTTCTGTGGGTCTATGACTATAATTTTTATGACTTTTTTGATGTCATCTTTTTCATCATTCGCCTCTATCTCTCCAAACTCCACCCATCTCCCAGATTTACCTGATTCAGTTTTTGCATATGTACGTGGAATACTGTGACTGCCACCCTTCCCCTCTCCTCTGCTTTCTTTTAGACCATACCCAGTCACCAACACATGTTCAGCTTCCTGTTATTACTAAGACAGCTGTTCAGAGTAGTTGTACCACTGGAATTCTCTCCGGCACAAACAATACTTTATTTTTTTTTTTGTCGGTCGTGGGGCTTGAACTCTGGGCTTGGGCACTGTCCCTCAGCTCTTCAGCTCAAGGCGAGCGCTCTACCACTTGAGCTACAGCACCACTTCCGGTTTTCTAGTGGTTTATTGGAGATAGGAGTCTCATGGTCTCTCCTGCCCGGGCTGGCTTTGAACCGCGATCCTCAGATCTCAGCCTCCTGAGTAGCTAGGATTACAGGCGTGAGCCACCAGCGCCCGGCCAAACAATACTTTATTAACATACATGTGTATATGTACATTTGACCATGTATATAATTACATATATATGTTTATATATATTTATAATGTATATGTAACTTCCATAGATGGGATAAAATGAATCTTTTGTTTTTCTGACCCTGACTTAGTTTATTTAGCATGCTTTTCTGGGTGTTACTTCTTTCCCTGCCGATGAACATATTCTTCCTGATGGATGATACACATTTTTAATAATTTTTAAATGGTTATTTTTCATTTATTTTATTATTTTTTTTTGTTGGTCATGGGGCTTGAACTCTGGGCCTGGGCACTGTCCCTCAGCTCTTCAGCTCAAGGCGAGCGCTCTACCACTTGAGCTACAGCACCACTTCCGGTTTTCTAGTGGTTTATTGGAGATAGCAGTCTCACGGTCTTTCCTGCCTGGGCTGGCTTTGAACCGCGATTCTGAGATCTCAGCCTCCTGAGTAGCTAGGATTACAGGCGTGAGCCACTGGCACCTGGCTTATTTTATTAATTTTATCTTTATGTGGTACCAAGGAATTGATCACAGGGCCTCATGCATGCTGGACAAGCATTCGCCCACTAAGTCACATTCCTTGCCCATATATGATATATATTAAGAAACATATATATATATATATATATATATTATTAAGAAACATACAAACACATATATTTTTCATCAATTTATTGAAGGGAATCTGAGCTGTTTCTATCACTTGGCTATGGTAAATAGTGCAGCAACAAATATGGATATGCAAGTATCTTTATTGTCTCCTGACTCATACTGAAATTTTTTTGCTGTCAAGAGAAGTGCCAGGCAGCCTGCAGAGGGTGATAGAGGTTTTTGCTCTTTCCTATATGCTTCTGTGCCTATAGCTGCTACAAGACTGAAGACTTATTCTAATGTAACAATGACCTAAAAAAACTTACAACGTGTGCTTCATTTTGTAGGCCAATTATACTTTTTATTTTGTGGACAAGCTAAAAACTTTATCAGAAACAGTGCTGAAGATGTCCAGCTTTTTCCAGGGAAGTGGAAATGGACAGATGTTCAACCAGTTGCAAGTGAGTAGGGGCTGCGTTCCAGGCTACTACCTGCTTGGGTCTATGTAAGCCTTGCAGCAGCCTTTCAGATGATTGTATAAGGTGGTAGCAAACCTGGTTTTCCTAGATGACTTTTAAAAACTTTTAAAAATTTATTTGTTGTTACTGTCAAGGTGATGTACAGAAGGGTTATAGTTACATAAGTCAGATAAAGAATACATTTCTTTTTGGACAAATGTCACTCCTTCCCTCTCTCACCCCACCACAAGTTGTATAGTTCATTTTCCACGTAGTATCTGGTGAGCCTCACTACCACATTTGTTCACCCTTTGTACCACTCACCCTTCCAAAAACAGATAAAGTAATAAACAAGACAAAAGAAAATGAAACCAATAACAACAAACAAGAAAAAAATCCTCTGGTTTCCATTTCCTGGAGTTAATTTGGATATATATTATTTTATGTGATCAGATACACACAACTATTGCACCTTTGTAATCCTCTCCTAAGAATATCTTCCTTTTAATTAATTAATTAATTTAGTATATATGAGTTGCACAGAGAGTTTTTTAATTCTATTTTTATACATGATAGAATGCATTTTGATCAAATCCAACCTTTTTTGATACTCTTCTGTTTCATTTTAGGTGCATGTTATCTATATACAGGGATTTTAGTATGATACTTCCATACATGTATATAATATTCAGTGATCAAATTCACTCCCTGTATGACTTTTATCTCTAGTAAAATTGATGTAGAGTTGAATACATGTGAAAAATTTAGATATCACAGATTGTTAACTGTGTTTCTCCTAGCATTGGAATCACATTCAGGGAGAACTGTCTTTGGGTTTGGAGTGAAGTCTCAATCTGGTTCTGCCACTAGATGGTGTCATTTAGTGCCTTTGGGTGAAGCTATAAATTCTGCCTTGGGCTTTTCCCACCAGTAAAAGTTAATAGTTATTTCTTCATGGGAATGTCTCTGAGATTAAATGACATAATTGCATAATAAACTACTCTGTAGATTATCCAGCAAGCAACTAATGCCCAATGAAAGAAGATAAATAAGATTTAAGAAAGAACAAACAGATTTCATAATAAAGTCTTGTCATCCTCAGACAAAATTAGTAAGGGCGAATATGAGCAGTAAAAAGGTCTGACACAGGCAGTACACATTACCTAAGAATTCATAAACTGAAGCTTCCATGTTGTAAAGTTAAATGGTGAAACAGGTATTCTCTAAGGAGCTAGTGTAGTCTAGAATTAACCTCTACTTATGAATCCTGGTATTGAGTGCCAGTACATGAGTACTTTCCTGCTCTCAGGTTTCTTTGTTGGTTGTGGTGTGTGGGAGTATGATGCTAATAAATGCATGCTAATGGCAATATCAAGGTGCACAATTTAATGAACTCTATGAAAAATGATCTTGGAGAGGTCTCCATCTTAAATCCATTTACAAACAAGACAAATTAGGAGCATCACAATGAGATGTGTCCAATGAGTATTCCAATGATCATGTTCTGGGTGTCATAGGATTTAAGACATAGGATTTAAGGACTTCCATATGGAAGTCCTTCTTCAGTGCTTCTAGGCAGGAAAGCCAGTTGAGAGCCCATCTTCCAGAAGATATGGGGGAAGAAGGGGAGGGAAGTGATCGTAGGAGGGGGTGACAATGCTCAACAAGAAATGTACTCATTACCTTACTCATGTAAGTGTAACCCCTCTGCACAGCATCATTACAACAAAATAAAGAGCCCATCTTCCTGAATTCAAATCCTGGTACTTACCCCCCCCAAAAAAATAAAGAAGTAATCTTAAAAAGGTAAAGGATCATGGTATTGTGGGTGTTAGAAAATTTGGCCAAAAAGCCACTAATTAATTTATTCTCCACTTTTAGTGTCAGTGAATAGTTAAAATTAGAGTCTAAAAATTTCACAATCGCTATTTTTGCTTTACAAGATAAAGAACTGACTGTATGTTCACCTAATAGTTATTTGCAATGTTTTAGAACTTCTTTAAAGTGGATTTACTTTGTGTTTTGCCTGAATAATACAACTTTGAATAAATCTAGTATTATTCAATAAGAGGACATATATAATTATTTTTTGTTGTGCTATATTATTTTTCTTTAGGATGCCCTGAGAAACAAATTTATAAGACACTTTGTAGAAAGCCAGTTACACATCGATGTGGACAAACTCACAGAAACTCTGCAGACTTATGGTAAACATTCTTGTGTTCAGGGTGGGGTTCATGGCTCCAAGGTGGGGTTCATGGTTCCAGTGGCTGTCCTGCATGTGTCCTGCTCCTTGGGCCACAAAGTTACTTGATGACATCAGGTTGTCACTTTTACTCTCTGAGTTTCTACTTTCCTTTCTGTATCTTGAAGGGTTTCAATTAGATATACCAAAGTTTATTTATACATGAACTTTTCTGACTTACTGATTCAGGGCTTGACTTGCAAAAGACTTAATTAAGACAAAAAAAAACACAAAAGGAGGGTTCTGAGTGGAATGCTGGAAGTATGGATTGCAAAGTAGGGTATAAAAGGAATTACCATTGAGTTAACAGTAAATTGAAAGCAGTTGCATTGATTTGAAAATGTACAGATCAGACAAAAATATCACCTAGGAAACTTACATTGCCCTCTGGCTATAATGTATCTTGGTCATCATTATGTTTTTTTCCTTTCTTTTGAGACAAAACCTTGTTCAGGCTAGCCTGGAGCTTGCGATCCTCTCTCGTGCTCATGTATTAACATATTGGGCTTTATGCTTATTTACTGAGAGACATAAGAGAGACAGTTCCATGCAAGGAGCTGGAGAGGGGTATGGACTATTTTTGTCCAGCCACTGTAAACAGTGATGCCAGCAAAGACTTAGGGCTTTGCCAGAGATATGCCAAAGTGCCTGCTAAAAGCCTAAATGCTTGATAGGAAATGGACTTATTACCTTGCTCATGTAACTGTAACCCTTCTGTACAGTATTTTTACAATAAAAAAAAGCCTAAACCAGATGAAGGGGATTGGAGACCAGAAAAGGAAGAATGTCAGGCTGATTTAGGTCCTTGGAACCCTGGCTTCTGTCTATGCGTGGAAAAGGGACTCAAATGTAGCTGAAGCATGAAGGCTAAAAGGAGGCAAGGCATCATGTGTTTGTTTGTAGGTTTGTGTTTAGTTGTACTAGGGAGTTTCTTTTTTCTTCTCTTTTTTCCCTCCCGGTTCTGGGTCTTGACCTCTGGGCCTGGTTGCTATCCCTAAACTCCTTTTGCTCAAGGATAGTGCTTTACCACTTGATTTACAGTACCACTTCTGGCTTTTCCTGTGATTAATTGGGATAAGAGACTTATGGACTTTCCTGACCTGGCTAGCTTTGAACTGTGATCCTCTCATCTCCTGAGTAGCTAGGATTACAGGCACGAGCCTCCTGTGCGTGGCTGGGGCTTTCATTTTGATATTTGCATATACACACCGTGTTCTGTGTTCAGATTCACTCTCTCCTTCACTTTTCCTCATATCCTTCCCCAAATCAATCTCAAAAAGCTCCTCCATTTCACTCATTGTAGAACTCTTGAAAATGACTTTCAGCATATTGTGAAGCAACATGTTTCTCTTGTAGAAACATTAGGAGATATAAATAAGCTAGAGGAAAACCATCTACCGGTCATCTCCAGACTTGGAGCTCTTTTTTCAAATGGAATTTTCTGTTCTCCAGTGAGCACAGACATGTATTGTCACAAAAGGATCCGTTCATCCACAACATTTTAAAAGTTATTCATAAAAAGAAAATTAACTTTATAACCGTCGGCCCTGTTATTAGAAAAGAATCTCCTAACTGAGCTTCCCACCCACTTTTATTCCCTAGGATGAATCACTTTAAAATTACTGAGAGATTGCTTATGGATTGATCACCATCACCTTAAACAATAATGCCTGTAGTAGTATTCTTGATTTGTTCACAGTAGAAATTGTCAATCGATTCCCTGTTAGGAAAGACACAAATTAGTTCTATATTCCATCATTTCTCTGCCGGGTTACCCCTACTCGAATTCTATGACCATTTTTATTCAGATGAAACGTAATGATCAGATAAGTACTATTTGTTGCAAAGCCAGAGTATGCATGAAAATGCAATTCCCTCTTTAAAATGATATTTCCTTCTCTTTTACTAACCTTTGTTAACCTCCCTCCCACAACATGCTAGCACATCTCTATGTCCAGCCTGGCTGTCCACGCAGACAGCAGGCGGGGACCCTCTTCATACTCTCTCTGTCCACTCACTCCATAGCCAGTGGTCATCTGAGAATTCTCTGCTCTCCTGGGTGGGATATCATGATCTTGGTTTCTACATCCTCATATTTATTTCATTACCTTGCTTTAGGGAGTCATATTCACAAATTTCATCTTGAAGCAGAAGACGCAACAGAAAAAATTTCCAAGTAATGTTACCCAATAATGTCTTGTTTATAGGTGAAGATGAAGTGGAGATATCCTTTAGTTAATTCCTAATAATTTAAATAAAACAACATCTTGTAACCTCTCTTGTCATCCTCCATTCCTCCTCTTCTTCCTTGTCTTTCCTCTTTCTTCTTCTGCATTTTCCCCCACCTGTCATACTTTTATCTATCTTGTAATGGGCTATCAATTTTGTGAATCTTAAAAGGAATACATATCACAATGGCTTTGGTTCATCACAGTATTTGTTTGTTTGTTTTTTGTTCTTTCCTCCTTCCTCTTTTCCCTCCCTCTCTCCATTAGTTCTTTCACTTTCTGAGATATATACTTATATATAATAGGCATATATTAAAAAGTAAATAGTTTTCTTTGAGCATTTTCTTAACTTCAGCTCATCATTTGGGTATGTCCCATTTTTATTTTCATTCAATTAAAAGTATCTTTTCAAAGGGTACACAAATCAAAAACAGTGACAAAAGGCAATAAACCAAAGGGGGGGAAATAACTGCAAACAGTATAATAAAAAACTCTTGTTTCCATTTCTTGGCGTTCATTTCAATAAACATCATTTTATATGATTAGCACTGGTGGTTTATGCCTGTAATAATAGCTACTCAGGAGACTAAGATCTGATGGTCCCAATTCCAAGCCAGTCTGGGCAGGAAAGTCCATGTGCTGACAATGGTTGACACAGTGTATATGCTATATTTTGGAGATAACAATGATGAGAGTAAAAGTCTGTGTATGTTCCGATGTGAGGTTGCTGAGCCCATGGATACAGAATCCATGGATACAAAGCCATAAACTGGGCTTGCAAATTGTACCATGAATTGTGTTTGCAAATTATACCCACAAACATGTGAGTATGTGTTTATTTTCCCCACCTCCGTATTTGTGCTTGCATTTATGTAAATTACTCACATTCTTAAGGCCTGTCCAAAAAAAAAAGCAGCTTTGATTGTTCCCATGGAGGATAATTAAAGCTACCCTATAGTGAGGTTAAGTTTTATTGTATTTAACATCTGGAAGTCTATACAGTTTAATTGCCTAACCAAAGCTTACTAAAGCAAGATTGTAGAGCAACATATATCCTGACAAATGGTCAACATATAAAATGCAACACACAAAAATCACCACTGTGTATGGGCTGGGAAGGTGGCTCAATGGTAGAGCGCTTGCCTTGCATGCATGAGACCCTGGGTTCGATTCCTCAGCACCACATAAGCAAAAAGAAAAAAAGCCAGAAGTGGCGCTATGGCTCAAGTGGTAGAGCGCTAGCCTTGAGCTGAAGAGCTGAGGGACAGCGCCCAGGCCCAGAGTTCAGGCCTACGACCGGACCGCCAAAAAACAATCACCACTGTGCCTCATACTGTAAAATTAAACACCCTCTTCTCTAGTCTCCATCAACAAAATTTGCACAGGCAGTGTAGTTTTGGTTCTTCTAATCACTAGGTGTTCTGCAGAAGAAAGAAAACATACTAATTGATGAGAGTCTACCTACTGTCTTTAGCGATTACAAATATAGTAGTAGGTAGCATTCCATAATGCAGTAAGAACATTACAACCACATGTGTCATTTTGCTTTCCCTGTGCTATGCGTGAGGAAGCTGCAATTTTGACAGACATCAAAGCTGGAATGAGGAGCAAAACTGTTAGGAGAGCAAAGCCGTGTGTTGCCAGCTCTGCAGTGCTTATGCGCTCAGTGGCTCCCGGGATTGTGGCTTCATGTGAAAACACTCAAGCGTGGTGGCACACCCACATACTTTAGAAAACAACAGAATCTCCAAAAAGGCCTTCACCTCAGCCACAGCATAACCCATACATGCCAGTCTGGGGAGCAGTTACATTTCAAAGCACAACTGGGACCCTTAGAACGTGATCATGGAAACTCTAGGAGGTTCCAGGCGGTGGCCCAGGAAGCCATGGAGGGAACGTAAGAGTTACCCAAAGGCATCACTTTTGCTTCAACATTTGGGAGAAAACATGAAATAATTTTATGTTGAAACAAAGCTCTCTTTCTCCAAGCAAATGTGTTCTATACCCTGAGACCCTCTTGAACTCGAGTCCCCCAAACCCTCTTGTTGAGTGAGGAGCAGTGCCTGGTCTCAGGGAAGTCTCTGTGAAAGTCAGGCCGGAGCACAGGCCAATTTCTTGACTGCTTAAGTCAATGTCAAGTCCATGCCATTGGCTCTGAGTGTTAGTAACTCCCTGAGGGACTCAGCAGTACTCAGTGGTGGACCCTTCAGGTTCCCAATAGTGGTTGACAACCTCTACATTGCGAAGATCAAGGCATGTTGAGGTGGAAAACCCAGATCCTGGGGATCCTTCTGGTATCTAACATTTCAGCAGACACAGATCTTTTTGCCTTTACAATTTAGAGTCTGAAACTGGCCAGAAATCAGTACTCCTTGTTAATTACAGTATTTCTGCCACTGATGCCATTTGTGGACTCTGGTTTGAGCTATTTTCTTCTCCTAGGGACAAGTTGTGACCTAGCTCTTTCTGAGAGCTTTTCAAAAGAAGAATTCAACAGAAGCTCATGTCCTCCATCTGCTTGGGACTGAAATAAATAAGTCCTATGGCCACTGACAGCTGTCCCATAATATAATTTTATCCACAGTGTATTTATGCTTTGTTGTGTGGTTTTGTGTAATTTGTGGGTATGTATAAACATGGTGGAATGCTTGTACATATGTTCAGTTCTTGTGAATTCAGACTTTTAAAATACCAAGTTGGGGAAAAAACCCAGAAAGACTGTCTCTGGATGTCCTTAAGGAAGGCTATCCTTGGTGGGTGAAGAACCTTTGATGTAAATATTACCCTTAGTAGGTAAGCAGCTTCCAGTATACCAGCCAAGAAGGGCCATGCTCTCTTCCTACCACTTGGAGAGGGTGGGTGGCATCTTGATCCCAACTCTGATTATGCTTGAATGGCTTGGGGCTGTGATGTTTTCTCCAGTAGCAGGGCTTACCTCATAGCTAACTGGAGGGACTCAGTTCATACCTTACTCTTCTGCCTTCTAGGATGTCTCAAGCCGCTTCCCCTCCCTAGCCTGTCTCCCCACACTCCTTTCTTCAGGTAATTTAGTTTCCCCAGCTCTTTCCTGAAACCAGACTGAAAATACCAAAACATCCTCATTGTGGTTTTCCTCTGAAAAATGATTTGAAGTTCAGCTTCCAGAGACAAAATATTGCCAGTATTTATTAACTGTTTACTTTTTCTAATGTACCAGTCGTGGACAGAGACTATAGGAAGATTGGTTTCCTTGCTGCTGCTGATTCCTTCCCCTCCTCCTCCTCCTCCTCCTCCTCTTCTTCTTCAAAGATTTTTGACAGTTCTAAGGTTTGAATTTAGGGCCTGAGCACTGTCTATGAGCCTCTTTGTGCTCAAGGCTAGTACTCTATCACTTGAGCCACAGTGTTAGTTCTGGCTTTTTTCTAAGTAATCTGTTGGTTCTCTAAGTAATCTGTTGGTTTTCTAAGTAATCTGTTGGTTCTCTCCTGGCTGGCTTTGAACCATGATCCTCAGATCTCAGCCTCATGAGTAGCTAGGATTACAGGTGTGAGCCACAGCTGGGTTGATTATTATTACTTTTCTTTTTTATTGTGAAAATAGTGTATAGAGGGGTTACAATTACATGGCCAAGGTAATGAGTACATTTCTTATCAAGCATTGTTGCCTTCTCCTTTGTTTCCCCTTCTCATCCCTTCCCATCTCCCCCCCCCATTGTAATGTGAATGTCATAAAATGTGTTTCACAAAATGCTTACCACTTCAGTGAAAGCATATTAGTTAGGATTTCCCCTGTCAGGTTGGAACATTGTTTGTTTGTTTTTTTATTTAGTTGTCTGTGAAAAGTTCTTCCTTATTATATATACATTTCTTTTCTTTCTGTTTGTTTTGCCTGAGTCTCCTTGTCACAAGTTATCCTGGGATGCAGTCTTACCCTTTGTGCTACCTCTTCCCTCTTCCTCCTCTTCTTCCTCCTCCTCCTTTTCTTCTTTTTCTTCTCCCCTTCCTGTTTCTCCTTTTCCTCCTTCTCTTTCTCTCACTGAGTATCACAGAGAATATATATATATATATATATATATATATATATATATATATATATATATATATATATATATATAAAGTAGTAGAGGATTTTCATTGAGTTAATGAGTAGTGAATTTTGTATATGAATAAAATCCGTCCTTATGAGCAATTTTTGATGAAGAAATTAATATTCATTTTCAAATACATTTGCACAATCCCCAGTGTATAAGCAGGAAGCACTTAGGTGGTAGAGGAGATGGTGTGTCCTAATTTGTTTGCTTTCCTTAGGTGGAATGCTAGATAAGATGTTTAACCATGCAGGGGCTGGACACTTCCAGTTCTTGGGCGGTATCTTGGTCAATCTCTCATCCTGCGTGGTATTGGACCGTTTCCAGCCTATGGAGTCTGTTGATGCTCTGGAGACTAAAGTCCATGAACTCACGCAGCAGAACAACTTCCTGGCCAGTAAGTATTCAGGAAAGAAATGTGTTCATATAGGCATAGACTCCAATAGTTCGGCATTTTCCATATTTCTTTATAAGAGTGTCTTACGTTGGCTTAGAAAGAAAAGTATCTTACAGATACAACAAAGTAAAGCAGAAATGTATGTGCTGAGTTAAGGAAAATGTGTGCCTCAGGACATGCCATTTCTATCATCCTAAGGATGATGCTACTTGCTTCATCTGTTTTTATTATCTTTAAATAGCATTTTATAGTTAAATCTCATATGATAAATATTTATTTTTTGACTAAATTTTTACTCTGATTGCTGGCAACACCTTTATTTTTTGTCATACTTTATTAATATCTTGAGGTAATGGAAAGAATACAGTGTCTAACTAGATTTTGTTATTAGCTTTGTACTTATTCAAGATAAATATAACATATACATTTATATCCTTTTAAAACAAGCATTTTATTATTACTGTTGTTTATTATTATTATTTTGGAGCTGGAGATTGGGCCCAGGTTCTTGTGCAAACTAATGACACGTTCTACCACTGAACTATATCTCAGGTCCCATTTAATTATTTTTTTCTTGAGGTTTTATATTGGATTTTATAGAGCTGTGACAATAAAGTATTACAGTCTTGGTGATTTAAATATCAGAAAACATTTTTTCCTGCTAGTCCAGGGGCTTGAACTCAGGGACTAGGTGCTATCCCTTAGCTTTTGTGCTCAAGGCTAGAACTCTACCACTTGAGTCACAGCTCCACTTCTGGCTTTTCTTTTTTAATATATTTAATTGGATATAGAAATCTCGTAGGCTTTCCTGCTTGGGCTGACTCCTAACCTGGATCCTCAGAGCTTAGCCTCTTGAGTAGCTATGGTTACAGGTGTAAGCCACTGGCACTTGGTGAAACTTGATTTCTTATAGCTCTAAATGCTGGAAATCCAAGATCAAATCCTTTATAGGCTTCTTCTGAGGCTGTAAGGGAAAGAATCTTCTGTAGGCATCACTTGACTTACAGATAATTATTTTTTCCTCATGTATCTTTATGTAATCTTCCCCGTATATATGCCATTGTGTCCTAGTTTTCTATTTTGATAAGACAACATCATATTGAATTAGGGCCTCTCTCCCACCCCAAAGACTTCATTTTAATAGAACCCTTCTCAAGATACTATCTCTATGACCTTACTCATGTAACTGTAACCCCTCTGTACAGTATCTTTACAATAAAAATATATACAAAAAAGATGCTATCTCCGACTATGACCACATTATGAGATCCTGGGTATTAGAACCTCAGCATATGAACTTTTGGGGAACCTGATTGAGTCATCTCATAATAAGCTTATGCATGCAATTCAAAGTCTCCTTATGTCAGAAAGCAGAATCTGCCTAAGTCATGAATGATAAGTAATCCAAAGAGAAAGATTCTGGATACTCAGCTGGATCTGCAACTGTGAGGGGGTAAAAAGTCTGATATTTGAGCAACTTCATATAACTTATGAGGTACTACAAAATAGTTTGTATACATGATAGCCCCAGTATAATTTCATGAAAATTGAAAAAAGGAGCAATGGACTGAGAACTGGAAGATTTTGGTTTAAGCTTATTGTCAATTGCCTATGGTACTACACAATAGGTCTGACCTCCAGGAGAAAAATGGGAGGCTGTGGAAATCCCCTGGGACCATACCAGTCTGACCAGTCCTGGCCACATGTGTTCCTTCCTGATGCTTTGTTTTTCCTTTTACCCACTAGGTGTTATCTTCAACAGTTCCTTAGCACACAGGCACATCCGATCAGCATCTCTCAAATTGCCACCCCATGTCACATACACAATTCGGACCAGCGTTTTATACAGCATGAGGACAGATTTGATTAAAAACCCTTTTTGGAAGTTTCATCCTCAGAATCTCCCAGCAGATGGATTTAAATATAACTACATCTTTGTCCCACTGCAAGACATGATTGAAAGGGCAATCATTATGGTGCAGACTGGGCAGGAAGCCCTGGAGCCGACTACGCAGACACAGGCAGCCCCCTATCCTTGCCACACCAGTGACCTGTGAGTAGCCACAGCCATCCAAGTGCCCACCTGCAGGGAGAGAAATCTTGCATTTGCAAAACGTAATAGGATCATAAAATCATGGAGCTTTTCTATAGTCATTTTGAAGAGCATTATATAAAAATCCTTTCTTTTTAATGTCTTAAGGTTCATCTTTCATATACTTAAATTCTTCAGGTAGAAACATAATGGTTGAGATACAGAAAGGCCTCTGCATCCACGGGTTTCTGTTTTAAATCTGTAGGTTTAAAAACTGTAGGTTAAAAAATGCCAGGAAGTTCTCCAAAGCAAAAGTTCAATTAGCCATGTGTCGTGCATTGTACTAAATCCATGTGAACTGAGTGATATCCAGGCATTGCATTAGGTTAACAAGTAATAGAGAGATGATTTAAAGTGTACTGGAAAATAGTAAAAGTTTATAGGCAAGTATTCTATTATTTTATGTCAGAGACCTGAGTATCTGTAGATCCTGATGCCCACTGGAGATCCAAGAACGAATCCAAGAACTATTTTATGTGATCAAGTAGAATTTGAAATTTGATATTGGGCATTTATAGTTTTAAGAATCCCTAAATGTGTGTGTGTGTGTGTGTGTGTGTGTGTGTGTGTGTGTGTGTGTGTGTGTGTGGTCTGTCAATGTTGAGGCTTGAACTCAGATCCTGGGTTCTATTCCTTACCTTTGTTACTCAAATCTGGCTCTCTACTTGAGCCACAGCTCCACATTTCAGCTTTTTGCTGGTTGATAGAGATAATAATCTCACTGACTTTCTTGTCTGGCTTCAAACCACAGTCCTCAGATCTCAGCCTCTGGAGTAGCTAAGATTATAGGTATGAACCACGGATGCCTGGCTCTTAGAATAAATTTGACAAACAGTATCTATAAGGGTTGTGTGTTTCCAGCTTCAGATTCTACCTACCTATACTTGGAGACCTAAGGAGAGGCTATTCCATTTTGGGTACAAATCCTTAAAATGAATAGTGTTGCATGCTATGCAGAATGGCCAGAAATGCTACAAGGGCCTAGGTTATTGGTGTAAGTATTCAGAAAGTAATCTGGGAACATTTGAAAGTTAAAATAGTGTGATTTGGCTTGAGATGTGTAGGGGGTAGGGATAGAAAGTTAGAACTTGGAGCAGCTGGATGAGATCACTTGGAGAAGTTGGGTGACTTTAATTCAAGCCAGGCATAGTACTTCCCAAAGTAGGGCAAGGTCTGCGATCTTCTGGGGCTTTGTGAACTCCAGGGGTACATAGAAACCATGAAAGGACTTTCAAATGTGTTAAATAAGTAATGTTACTTCAGGCTGCAGGGCTCAATTTATTCCTAACTTTCCCCATGGTGGATGCTTGTGCCCATAAGCTTCCTGCTCCTGCTTGGCCTTGGGTAACATAGGTGTGGGCCATTTGCTGTGCACCATCTGTAATGCTACCGTCTTCTCACACTCTCCTGAAAGTATGGTGGAAAGAAAACAGCAGAATGTGAGGTTATTAAAGGAACAACTTGAGTGTGACATTAATTATGAGAACAGGGCCAACTATTTTTTTTTTCTTTTTTGTTGGTCTTGGGGATTGAACCCAGGCCCTGGGTGTTGTCTTTGATCTTTTTTTTCCCTCAAGGCTAGTGCTCTACCACTTGAGCCACAGCTCTACTTCCAGATTTTTGAAGTAGTTTATTGGAGATAAGAGTCTTATGGATGGGGCTAGGAAGGTGGCTCAGTGGTAGAGCGCTTGCCTTGAATGCATGAGGCCCTGGGTTCGATTCCTCAGCACCACATAAGCAAAAAGAAAAAAACCAGAATTGGCGCTGTGGATCAAGTGGTAGAGTGCTAACCTTGAGCTGAAGAGCTGAAGGACAGTGCCCAGGCCCAGAGTTCAGGCCCCATGACTGGACCACCTCCTTCCCTAAAAAATAACAACACCATAGTCTTATGGACTTTCCTGAAGTCAGACTCCTTGCACAACTGCCTGGGGGCCTCTTTGCAAGCCCAGTGGCTTTATGCCTTTTTCCCCTTCCTCTCTAGCAATATGCCTCATACATAATAGCTCATCAGTGCCTTGTTGATGAAGATCACAGGAAGCATGTATCATAGTGTTTAGATAAAAGGCTGCAGAAGATAGAAAGCTTGCCTGATTGAGTCTATCTTGGGGTGTCTGAGTGTGTGGGGGAGAGAACAAAGGGTCAAGCCGAAAGAGACTAAGGTGTTATTTTCACCTAGGGACTGTCTCATTAGGCAAATCATCTGTAAGACCTATGCACTCCTTTGCACAATGAAAGCTTTTCTTTATTTTCAAAGCAATGATATTTTTGGTATTGAAAATATTCAACATTAAAGAAAAATACTCCAGAAGCCCCTCCCCCCTCTTTTGAAAGTGACAACACAGGGAACAGAAGCCAAGAAAACTGGTGGTGCTGGCTGGGTGTTAGGCAAACATGTTTCCTTTCCAACTTAGTACTTGCGAAACTTGAGCAATCACCCTGTGTTAGATGGATGGAGAAGTCAAGGTTTCCTGATGCTATTTTTAAGGATGTATCTAAAAAAAAACCCCACTAACGAACCCCAAACCCACATGACAATCTCCCTTCAAAAATAGGGTGTGATTGCCTTCCATGGAAGATGGGGGTGGGAAGCTCAAATCTTTGCTAGTCTGGTTTCCTGGAGGGGACCAGGATTGTCCCATCTACTTCATTCCACAAGATATGTCCTGGGGAGGAAAATGAACTCTCAAGCAGACGTGTTGATGAAAAGCTAGAAGTAGCCCGAGCAGTTTCCCTGCTGACCACTACGCTAGGCTGTCAGGCATCCTGAGTGGTCAGAAGGGAGGCTCTGAGCGAGACAGATGACAGGGAACCTTTCTTCATCGTGAAAATTAATTCTTGTCCACAAGACACATTGAAGTCAGAAGCTAGCATTAGTGGAATGCTTAGGAGTGTGATGGGCATGCCATGAAATTACTTCTTTCTGCCTGCTCACTGGGGTACCACAACATAACTCCTCAGAAATAATTTCTTTTACCTGTTGGCAAAGGTGAAGAAGTATTTCACTTTTCTGAAAGATTTAAATCCTGGAGCCTTCCCTTCGGCGTCTATTTTCCTTTTACATCTCGCTTCAACCATGTCTGCATTGCTGGAGGTTGAGTGTGCTGTTAATGGCGGAGACAGTCTTGGATCTTTCAGGAGCTCAGTCATCTGAGTAAAAATTTCTGATGAATGGTTTGGACTATAGACCAAACTTGCTCCATTTTTGTTAGTGGCTTCCTACTGCTTATTGAACAAATTACATATTCATGAAATTATTAATGTATTCAGTGACATTTATGTGCTCTTTGTCAGCTTCCAGGTTTGCGGTGAACCAGTGGATGAGGCAGCTGAAATTCTTTGGTCTTAAGTCATTTATAGTTCATGGAAGTATAGAAATGCAGTAAGGAAGAAAGCTGCATTAAAAGTTAAATGTAAGCTGGGTACCAATGGCTTATGCCCATAATCCTAGCTACTCAGGAAGCTGAGATCTGAGGATTGTGGTTTGAAGCCAGCCCAAGCAGGATAGTCTGTGAGATTTTTTTTTTATCTCCAATTAAGCACTAAGACAAAACAAAACAAAAAAGTCAGAAGTGGAACTGTGGACCTTGAGAGCTTGTTTGGAGGTTCTAGCAGGGGAGTGCAGCTACTCGTATACCCTTGACCCAAGACCGGTCCTCCTCTATGGGGGATGGTCGTCCTCTTCGACCGAGCGTGCAGCTTCGGGAGGGACGCACATGGAGCCTAGCTAGCCAGATCAGCCGAATCAACCCTGGCGATCAGTGGGGTGACAGATGTTGCAGCCAGATCGCCCTCACATCCAGAAGTGGAACTGTGGCTCAAGGGGTAGAGTGCTAGCTTTGAGCAAAGAAAGCTCAGGGACAGTGCCCAGGCTGTGAGTTCAAGCCCCAGGACTGGCACACACAAAAAAAGTTAAATGCAGTAACTGTGTGCTCTGGTATTGATGGGGAGTCAGATGAGGGTCAAGCATATGAGGAGGAGAGCTGGATTTATTAATGTGATTATGATGGATCGTATAAGGCAGATAAAACAGGCTTAAAGGGGTACAAAAGGAACTCGTGTTACAGGTCAGAGGACCAACTAATGTAAAGGCCCTACAGTAACGCAGTAGCATGGTGTGCATGCATTCAGTCACCAGAGCAGACTGCACAAGGCAAGAGGACCAACAATAAAGTCAAAGAGCTGAGCTTGTGTTTCTTCACCTTATCTGGGGGAGGGTCTTAAGCAGCAGTGATATCATCTGAAGGGCTTTCTGAGAGTCGTGTATATAGAAGAGGCTGTGGATGTACTGAGTGTAGCTGAGAGGTGAGAGTGGCTTGTTCATCATGCAGCATTCTAATACTGGCTGCATTCTGAAGGTAGAACCAACAGATTTGCAAAAGACTCGGTGGTGTAACTGAGGGGGATCAAAAATGATTCCTCACTTAACAGAATTGCTGGAATTACCTTTAAATGGTGGCCAGAGAAAGTTTGGGGGAAAAAATAGAAGCTCACTTTAAATATGTTTAAATTGCTTTCTAGAGACACCCCTCCCAAATGCTAAGCAGACAAATGTCTTTGGAGATTGGGTAGATCTCACTGAATACCCATCAGATTAGGACTCTAAGCTGTGTTGAAGGTATTTAGAACTCCTAGCTTTCCACAGAAGAGAGACAGTTAGAGAAATAATAATCAAAAGCAAGGCTGGGGCTATCTCTTTGAATAGATTAGGGAAAAGAGTGGATTTTATTTTTCTGGTCTTGGAGCTTGCATTTAGGGCCTGGGCACAGTCCCTGAGGTCTTTTACTTAAGGCTAGTGCTCTACCACTTGAGCCACAGCTCCGCTTCTGGCTTTTTAGTGGTTAATTGGAGATAAGGATCTTTTGGACTTTCCTGCCCCCCACTGGCTTTGAACTGTGGTCCTCAGATCTCAACTTCCTGAGTAGTTGGGATTATATGCTTGAGCCACTGGTGCTTGGCAAGAT